AGACAGCACATTGCACAAGAATATGTACAGTTAAATCCACTGTTGTAAAGTCTAGAGGTTCATAATCACATGGAAAATAGTCCTTTTGGGGGATACATATACTAGTATATGCATTTTTGAAAAGTGAAAGCAAGGGAATTCTAAACAAAAAGTTCTAAAGATTGGGTTATCATAAGGGGGCCAGAGAGAGATGCCAACCGGGAGGGGCAAGGGGGACCTTAGAAGCACGGGCCGCGTTCTCTTTTCTCAGGGAGTGCCTCATACTCGGCATTTAAAGAAACGATTTTTTGTACTCTATATGCTGAGCTTATCCAGTCTACGCAGGCGGAGGCAGGAGGAGTTACTATCTTCATTTTATAAAGGCTAACACTGAGGCTCAAAGAGGGGAGGGGTGCCTAAGCGCTGGAGCTAAGGCCAGAGCCCAGGCTGTAGATTCTGAATCCTGGACTCTTCCCTTGACATTCTTGTGGCCCTCAGAGCTGTCACTTATGCGATGCTCCATCCTGAAGGTGTCCCAGCAGGTTCCTGTGTCTGCACAGTGGCTCTCCTCTAGGGGCCCAGGCAGCAGCCTTTGAGGGGGATGCCAGGATCCTAGTAGCTCCGAAGGCATTGCCAGGATTCCAGTTGTAATGTGAATGTCTTTCTCCCGTAAAGGCCTCTTGTGTCTAAAGTGACTCTTTTCTGTTGGGTACCATACTCTGGACTCCTCATGATTCAGGCAGATAGAAGCCAAGAGCCCCTTGACCTGGGCAGCTGCCTTATTCTGCTCCAGACCTCCCCGATCTTCTGATGTGCTGGGCCAGAGGGCGGGGGAGGCAGGAGTTGGCTCAGAGGGGACCCCTGAGTTGTCAAATGTGCTCCGTGATCTCAGGATGATCTTAGGGGGGGAGGGAGTCATTCTGAGAAAGCCGCCACATGCCGTCCCCCGTCCCTGTGGCCCCCAGAGCAGCATGTGCTGGAGGAGCTGGAGCGCCAGGCGGTGCTCGTGTACACCCCATCTCGCAAGGTGAATGGCAAGCGCGTGGTCTGCTACGACGACCGCTACATCGTGAAGGTGGCCTACGAGCGGGACGGCGTCATCGTCTCCAATGACAACTACCGTGACCTGCAGAGCGAGAACCCCGAGTGGAAGTGGTTCATTGAGCAGAGGCTGCTCATGTTCTCCTTTGTCAACGACCGGTACGTGGCGGCCGAGGGGGCCTGGCACGGGTGGGTTGGGGTGACGGGAAGAAAACCACTCCCACTAGCCTAGGCCCCGCGGGGTTTGAGGTCCCAGGACACCAGGCCAGAAGCAAGGACACCAGGCCTGGAGACAGCCGATCCGAGGCACCCTCTCCGCTCCCACAGCGGCACGGTGTCTCTGTGCTTCGGGGACTCCTCTCTTGTGTGACCCGCTTTCTCCAACAGGGCTGCTTTGGCCCTGCTGTCCATGACCTTGTCCATGACCTTTCTGTTCCCGTGTCCACATCTAGCGGACCCGGCAGACAGCCATCCAGCAGGTGGGCCAAGCATGGGCTTGGGGCACCATACAGTTGTGTTTTTCTCTTCAAAGAATGTAACACTTTTAATAAGAGCCCTAAAACAGTCATGGGGGAGGGGGGATCTGGACTTTGTTCTACTTCCTTTCACTGTTTTCACCTTTTTGTTGTTCTTTTGAATCACATGGGGGAGTGGGCAGCATCTTTCACCATCTTGGAACTGACTCTGTCTCAATGCCTCTTGGTTGAAATTTTCAAGAGAATCTGCTTGGTTCATCTATCCCTTAGGTTGGTTCCTCTGGGTCAGGTCCATCTTAGACTAACCAGCTACACGAGGGTCACAAGGCACAAACCCATGAGCAGGTGCTGGTTAGCGAGGGCCCCTAGACTGAGCTTAGCTGGGGAGGAAGCGATGGCTGGTCCTCAGCAAATGTGCTCAGGCATGCCGAGGGCACAGGCGAGGCGCCTGGCAATGTGGGTGTGGGTGTGAGACTAGCATAGGGCAAGGCAGTGTGGGGAGGGCACCGCCGGCCGGGACTTCACTCCCCCTTCAGTTTCTGTTCCAGGCAATGATAGATCAGGCCTCATTCTGGGCTCTCCAGCTGGCTTTTAGGAATTGAGACAAGCCCCTAGCTCTGTGAAGGCAGGCGCTGCATCTTATGTGCCTTGGCTCCCGCCATAGGCTCTCAGTAGCTTGCTGTAGAGGAGTGAGGGAGTGGCTGCAGGCTGGGAAGGGAGAATGAGGAGAGAGGAGGCAACATGTAGCTGGCCGGGCCACTTGCACATGGCAGAGCAGTGCCTGACCCTGAAGCCGGGGAGGTAGTGTGGTGTGGTGAGAAGGTCTGGGACTTTGGGAGGCAGGAGGTATATATTTTAAATATATTTTTATTGATTTCAGAGAGGAAGGGGAAGGGAGAGAGAGACAGACACACCAATGATGGGAGAGAATCATTGATTGGCTGCCTCCTGCACATCCCCAGTGCGGGGATTGAGCCTGCAACCCAGACATGTGCCCTTGACCGGAATTGGCCTGTGGACTGAAGGGTCCCAGGAGGTGAAGTTTTAAACTGAAACTGTGCGATTTACAGAGCGTGTGTCCTGGGGAAATCACTCAGTTTCATTCAGCTGAACATTCTTTACCTTGAATTAATGTACTTGGATTAATCAGATTTATATCTGAGATGGTTTTGAGGACGGGAGAGAATTGTACCCTGTTATTCTCAGGACAGGGCAGGACACAGTGCCGCCAGGGGACACTGTTGCCCCCACTACCGCCTGGCACAGAGGTGGAGGACCCTCCCGAGCCCCAGGGCAGATGCTGGCAGCAGCTCCCTGCAGTAGCCCCCCTGGTCACTTCCACATATGCAAGGCCAGCGGCTCCTCTCTCCGGCCCAGGCCTGGAGGAACCTGGCAAGTCTGGGCACTGTGGGTTCCAGAAAATCCTCCCTGAGGTCTGACGGATCATGGCTGCCTCTGGCCTGGTGACAGCCTGGGGCCCAGGCCAAGTTTTTTTTGACACACAGGCCTCTGCTAAGGGTCTGCCAGAAGGCTGCCTGGCTGCCAGAGGCAGGGCCTGCCCGCTGCCTGTGGGCGAGGATGCCCACCCCAGTGCCCTGGGCACGTCCGTAGGGCCCTCTTGGCCCAGCTAGCAGCTGCGAGGCCGGGAGAGAGCAGGAGGTGAAGCCTTTGGGAACTTTTAATAACCGCAGTGGGCCGCTCCCTGGATTCTTGGTCAGGGCCCAGCTCTGAGAAGCCGGCTGTGTGGCTGGGATCTGAGCTGCGGACGCTGCCCAGGGATCGCCCAGCTCCTGGCCAGCCTGGTAGACGTGGTCTGCAGGATGGGACCTCAGCATGACCCTTGACTCTTAGGGAACACAAACGTGTAAATACAGGCCCTCTGTTTAGAACCCACAGCCACTCCAGCGGAGCCTTTCTGTGACTTGGAAGTGTCTCCTGGGAACAAAAGTGTTCATATAAAACACTGGATGGCGCTAAACCAGGGGAGCTTTCCTTCTCAGGAATGTTGTTTTCCCCTTTGAGCTGTTAGCACCCTGAGGTTGCATTCCTTTCCTTGTTAGACTTAATGCCAGGGGGAGGGGAAGGGGCAGGTGCGGGGCAGGGTGGGGCAGAGAACATGGCCTGGGTCAGGCAGTCCTGGGAGCTGAGACCAAACCCACCCAGAAGCCCAGCTTGGCAGCGAGGGTTGGATCTGCACAGAGGCGGGGTGTGCAGGCAGCACCTGGGATCCGCAGCTTTGCTGACTCGCCTACGGGTGTTCCAAACTCGCTGTTCACGTTAATGCCAGGCTGTGGGGGTAGCTGCAGAAATGGAATCTGAGCCTCAGGGACTCAGAGGACCAGGGCTGTTTGTAGCCCCACGGAGGTCTCTAACTTTCTCTGTTGAGGGCAGGGGAAGGCAGCTCAGAGCCGCTTTCAGAGTAGGGTAGGAGGGGGTCGCAAGAGCAATTATGCTTCAATTTGAGTGGATAAAAATCACCCGGGGCCTTGTTAAAATGCAGGTTCCCAAGCAACTTGAGATTCGGATTGAGCGTGTCTGGTAGGAAGCCAGGGACCTGCATTTGGAAAGGAGTTGCAAGGTGGTTCTGGTCCCGCTGGCATGAGCCTCAGCAGGAGAGACTCTTGGAGGCGGCCCAGGGGCTGCTCTCCAGGGATCCGAACTGTGCTCTGCACGCGCGCAGGGCGAGAACGGGCTGTGCTGCTTCCACACCCTGTGCCACCTGTGGGTGCGGGAAGAGTGCTGGCTGGTGAGCCTGGCCCAGGCCATGCCAGGGGCTGCCACCCTCCTGCTGGGCGCTCGCCATGCAGGTGGCATTGGTGAGTCCCTGTTGGTCTTGCAGTGGCTCCTCTGTGCTTGCTTTCCAGGTTCATGCCTCCTGACGACCCCCTGGGCCGTCGGGGACCCACCCTGAGCAACTTCCTGAGCAGGAAGCCAAAGCCCCCGGAGCCCTCCTGGCAGCACTGCCCATACGGTGGGTGACACCCCGCCCCCCCCCCCCCCCCCCCGGGCCCAGTGCCGGGCCTTGCGTCTCGATGGCAGTGTCCTGACGGGTTATTGTAGGAATGAACTGACACCTGGGCTGCCTGTTGCATGGGAGTATTTTGGGGGGTGGATGCAGGGGTCACACCTACGACAGAGCTGGTCCCAGAAGCAGGGAGGCTTTGTGTCCCCCAGGCTCCCCTTTATCAGTCCTTTCACCTGGCACCTGGCAGGCTGTGTCCCACCCTGCCCGCCACCCCCCACCCCTGGGCCCTTATGTCCGTTAGTCAATGCTGTCATTAAGAGGTAGGGATTCTGGCTCAGTGGTTGAGCTTCAACCCACGCACCATGAGCTCACTGGTTCAATTCCCCATCAGGGCACATGCGGCTTGATCCCTAGTACAGCGTGTGCAGGAGGCAGACAACTGATGTTCCTCTCTCATGGATGATTCTATATCTCTCCCTTCTCCTTCTCCCCTCCTCTCTCTAAAAATCAATTTAAAAAATTAAACAATAAGATTTAAAAAAAGAGTTAGGGATTTTATCCGGAGCCCTCCAGGGCGCCAGCCTCCTAGGCAGCGTTCACTAACTTGCTTGGAAAGTTATCCCATGTCCCCAGGCCTTGGTTTGCGCGCCCATGGACGTTCAAAAAGCCTTAGGTGACAGGGAGAGTCATTTCATGTTAGAATGAAGGTGAAACACAGGCAGGTTGATGCATTCTGCTCCCTTTCACTCTCAGAGGTGCCGAGGTTGTGATGATAAATTATTTGATCACCTGTTAGGACAGTAGGTAGAGAGAGGACAATGGTTAACAAGGAATGTGGGCTAGAGGAGGAAACCGGGCAGCCCTGGAGGTGCATCCTATGCCACAAGTACCCACTGTCCACGCACTCCTGAGACCCCCTATCCACAGGGTTCCTGGGAAAATGGAGACTGAGGTCCAGGGGTGGAGAGATTTGGTCCCACTCCCTGGCTAAAGGGAGCTCCCAGGCAGACACCTCCTGGCTGACACCGGGGTTACTGTGCCCAGCGCCTCTACCCCAGGGAGGCGAGTGCTGCACCCTGCGCATCCCTCCTGCGCCCCGGGCCACTCCACCCCACCTTGTCCTGCCCCATCCAGCTAACTCTGCATCCTGGGCGCTTTCCGTTAACAACATCCCAGGGGCAGCCCACCGCACCCGGCACACAGCCTCTCCCGCCCGCCCGAGGTCTCACCCCGCGCCCTCTCTTCCCTCCTGCCCCTTCCAGGCAGGAAATGCACCTACGGCATCAAGTGCAAGTTCTACCACCCGGAGAGGCCGCACCACACGCAGCTGGCGGTGGCCGACGAGCTTCGCGCCCAAACGCGCACCTGGCGGGGCGCGGGCGCCGACGAGGAGCGACCGAGGGCCCGGGCCGAGCAGGGCGGCCCCCCGAGCGCCCCCGCCGCCACCTGGCCCGGCCCCCGGGAGCCCGGCGCGCGCAGCCTGCCTCCGGCGCGGCGGGGGGCCGACGTGGCGGGCCTCGAGGGGGGCCTCTCCCGGCTCGCCCTCCGCGACGGCCCGGGCGCCTTTGGGGCGCCCCCTCCCGGCCTCGCGCCCCGGCCACGCCGCCCCGATTGGGTGGCGCCCGCGGCTCCCCTGTCCCTGCCCGCTCCGCCCGGCCTCCCGAGCCCCCAGAGCCAGTCGGGCCCGCTGGCTCGGCCCCGGCCTGGGGACCGCCTCGGGGACCTGCAGAGTGACCTGCTACCCCGGGGGAGGCCGCCCACCGACCTGTGGGCCCTCCAGCACGCGGCCGCCCGGGGCCCGGGGCGCTCGGCCTGGGCGGAGCTGAGCTGGGGCGAAGGCGCCCGCTGGGGTCCTCTGGGGCCCGCGGCCAGCGCGGGGGACGCGCGCGCCCGAGCGCGCACGGAGCTTTGCAGCATCTTCCCGCCGCACCAGGTGGACAGCGTCATGGCCCTGTTTCCCGCGCTCTCTGACGTCACCAGGCTGCTCCTCCTCATCCAGAGGGCCCGCAGGTCCGACGCGCCCGTGGGAAACCCCTAAGGAGCGAGCCCCAGCCCCGGCCGGCCCGGACGTCTCCACTTTGCCGGTGGCTGCCCGCTTGCACCTGGCCAGTCCCTGTGGGGGCTCCCTCTCCTCCTCAGGGGCACCCGGTGACTGTTACCAAAGACGCCGGCTGCTCCGCGACCTGCAGGGAAGGCGGCTACCTCCGTGCAGGGCGTGACTTCTCTTGTCTGCAAGACTACAGCCCCTCGGCTCCCGGGGCGTGTCTGGAACACTCCGGGCTGTTTCGCCCAGCTGCAGTTGGGATCCACAAATGGGTCACACGGTGCATGCAGGGGTCACACCAGCAAGGGAGTGGAGTAGGAAATGTCGCGCACGCCCCACACCATCAGGCTAAGCACAGGAAGCTCGCTTGTTAGCTAGGCGTGTGTGTGCTGTGTACCCATGTAAACTTAGTATGGGTCATGGGCATGGGTGTGAGAAATCCGGGTAAGTGGTCTTGAATCTCATTGCATCAAATCATGTTTGAACTATGTGGTCAGTTGGCCAGTGGAGGTTTTGGCATCTGGAGGTTTTCCTATGAGCTGTTTCTCTCATAGCCTCATGGGGGCAACGCAGAGCTCTAGCCGGGATGGTGGGCTCCACTGGCCACTCCGAAGCTGTGTGCGTGCCTGCTGGTCTGTGGAGGTGCGGCGGGCACGTGGTCCTGAGGCCCAGCCTCCACACAGCGCTCACACATGCACACACACATGCACACACAGCGCTCACACATGCACACACAGCGGACACACACACACAGGTACACACACACACACCCCATTTGACTCAGAGATAAGTGGTCCAGCAAAGGACCACTACTGGCCGAGGCTTCTAAACCACCCCTCCCAGCCCAGGCCCTTTTGCTCAGAAACCTCCAGGTTGGTCAGAGGCGCGCGGGGATGAGCCTCAGTCATGGAGGCGTATTGCCACCTTGCACAGTTACTGCTTTCCCAGCCAGCCACTGCTTTGAGTTTTGGGCAGAAGTGGTCCACGCATTCGCAATGGACGAGAAATGACAATGGCAAATGATGTTGCCCGAGCATGGACCGGTGCCCTCAGGCATCTCTGAGTGGTGTCTACCTGTTCATTCGGGATTACAAGTCCAGTTCTGCAGGTCTCGTCTGATTTGTTCCTAAAGGGACTTGGTGGCGTGGTTATGGCAGAGGCAGTGAGGCACCTCGCAATGGAAAGCCAGCTGCCAACCCCTGCAAGCTTCCTGCAGACTGGCAAGAGCAGGGGACACTCTTCTTGGTGCGTTACTGGCTGCATTGTTGGCGCAGCCCAGGGTGCACCCTGGGAGAATGTGCTCCTGGCCTTCTAATTCATGGTCAGTGCTGCCACCGGAGATACTGGGACGTGCCTGCCTGTGATCGTTTTGTCTTTTTAAAAGTTTTATGTTTTCATTGATTTCAGAGAAGAAGGGAGGAGGAGTGATAGAAACATCAATGATGAGAGAGAACCATTGATCGGCTGCCTCCTGCACTCTCCCCACTGGGAATCAAGCCCACAACCTGGGCATGTAGCCTGACTGGGAATCAAACCTTGACCTCCTGGTTCATAGGTCAACACTCAGCCACTGAGCCACACCGGCCAGACCCGTTTTGTCTTTTGAAACCAGATTCTTAGCATGGCTTCAGACAGATCTGTTCCTCACCTCTTTTTTCCAAAAGAGTACACGGCACCTTATTATTTTGGGATCTCAGTCCTGGAGAGGACCCACTCTTCCTAGATACATTGAATTTCCCTCTTGGTCTTTCTTCCTTCCTTTCTGGCAATGGGCTTTATATTTTATCTTTTTGGTGTTTCTTTTTAAGTTTTTTCATTTGACAAGACAAGCTTTATGTTAGAGCTGCTTCTGTCCCCTGGGGCTGCCTCCTGCCGAGGCATCGCCGCCGGCTGGTTTGCGGCTGGAAGCATTAAACGGCTTCCTTGGGGGACAGGTTTGAGTGCTAGTAAGCTGTAAAGCTATTTTACTTGACTCACTGTGATTAAGACAAGCACAGGACTCACAAGTGAAGAAACAGCACATTTCAATGTAATCCCCTTTGGAATTTTTTCCAAAGTCTCGGTATGTCTTTGTGACACAAAACATGGATGGGATGGGTGAATGAAATGTTCCTAGTTGCATAGCTGTTGACATGTTCCAAACATAAATCACTTTTACCCACACCTGGGCTCTGCACTGTCAAATTGTGCACCAGTTTCTCCCATGTCACTTCCCCCCTCGCCTGTTTTTTCACGTTAAATGCTACGGGTGTGAAGACTGAGGCTGCTTTATTCAGTGCTATTCCACCCTTAGGAGGGGGAGGGGAGAGGAGGGGCTGGAATCTGCTTTTCCCGGGAGAGGCAGCGAGGCCCCAGGCAAGGACATGCCTTTGCTGGCTGTTCAGCCAGCTGTTCCCAAGGACACAGGCTGCGTACCTGTTTGCTGCCTTTTCAAGTCCTCACTACAGAACAACGGAGTGTTCTCATAAAGGCTGCTCTTCGTGTGTGGACCTGCAGATCGCTCAGATCTGAGTAGCCCGGTGCTGGGCCACGTTCACGTTCACGCTGGCGCAGCTTTCCCAAGGCCCCGGGAAGGTGGTTTCAGGCAGAACTGCAGAATGTTGGGGGTTGAGGGGTAGGAGCCAAGGAAGCCACTCGTATTGGCACTGTTCCGGATAAAATGAATCCCAGCTCTCAGGATTTTACAGAGAACGCAGAGGGGGAGCAGTGAGCTGGCTGCCAGCTGGCTCCCTGTGTGCCGGCATGGCTCCCTGCCTCTGGGGGAGAAGTCCCCTGTGGGGAAGAAGAGCATGGGGGTGGGAGGGAAAGAGGTATTACAGAAGGGGGGATGGGGAGGGGGGCTCTGGGAACTGGAGCAATTAATTGGAATCACAGATCCCACCCTGAGAGAATGCACAGAGCCAGAGCCAGCGACATAACCCGTGGGCCCTAAGCAAAATGAAAATGCAGGCCCCTTGTTCAAAAGGGATCAAGAATTTCAAGAGGGTGACAGCAGAGCATTCAACCCACCTGGGGTCCTTCCGAGTGCAGGACCCTGTGGGACTGCACAGGTCACTGCCCATGTTGTGTAGGCACCTACAGGACAAACAAGAGCACTCTCCATCCTGAGTGTGTCCTAACGAAACAGGAAGGAGTGGGAGCCCAGGAGGAGCCACATACACTTCATAGCTGGGAAAGGGCAGGTGCTGGGCCCCCTGGGCCTCACCCTCAGGGACCACCCACTATTAAGTCTGATCAAACAATTGAATCGATATCCCTCCCCGGGGAACTGGCTTTTCAGGCCACTTCACTAAGGACATTCCCTTTGCTGAGACCTCATTTCACTTGCTGTGACCACATTCCATGATCTCCCCTCCAGGTCTGCCAAAAGTCCTTTAAAAGCCACTAACTCCCATCACTGGGGGCTGGAGCCGTCCAGGCTCAGCCACCTGGTGTGCGGATGATTGAATAAATTCATAATCCCTCACCATTCTGGCCTTCTGAGTTCCCCCTTCCGGCGACCTAATACCCACTGCATCTGCCAGGGCCCGGAGTGGCCTCCCTGTTTTTTCCTGCCCATCTGATGCAAGAAGCTAAAAAGGAGAAGTCAGGGGCTTGGGCAAACCACACACTGAATCGGCCACTTCCAAATGGGTGTGAGATGTGGGTGGGGTAGCTCTACCCAGGCAGCAAGCAGGCTGGTTTGTATTAGGCAAGGCTCTTCGGTTACAAGCCTGGCTCGCAAACCAAATGGCAGGAGGCCCGGGGTGAGGAGTGGAGGCAGCTGCGGGGGCTGGCTGGAATTAGGGGCTTGAACTCTGTCAGGACTCTCATCTGTTCTCTTCCGAGTGTGAGATTTAGGCTCTTTCTAAGGGTTTCCCTACATAATGAGAGCCATTCTGTTGGCAGACCTAGGCACACATGCTTCTAGCTAAAGGACTCATGAAGCAGCCTCAGGAAAGTCCTGGGGAGAATGCTGATTGGCTGGCTTGAATCACTTGCTCGCCCCTGGACCAATCACTGTGAGGCACTACCATGGGTCCAGCTGGGTCCGTGCCCAAGCCTCTGGCCAGGATGAGGGCTGTACTGTGATTGTCAGCTCCCACCAGCACCCACATAGTTGGGGTGGGGGTGGTGCTTCAGGGGTTGATAGGGGTGGTGAGTAGTTCCCTCAAAGAAGTGGGGACAGTGTCCAGACAAAATAAATGCCCACAATAATGTTCAAAGCTGGGGACTGTGCCAAGGTTTAGGATGGCTCCATCCACCCCTGTCCCCAGCTCTGGACCTCCCTGAGAAAGGAGTTGCTGTGTGCATTCCCTTTTCCCTGAGTCAGGAAGAACCTTGTGTCTGCAGAGCTCTCTGTGGGAGGAAGCTGGAAGGGGCTGCTGCTATGGTGCCCGAGGTAGCCTTGTGTTGATCTTGCCCGCCCTGGGCCTGTGCCCAGGTGAGCACTGAGGCGGGGAAGTGCCACAAACCCCTGCAGGGGAGGAAGTGTCTCTTCAGAGTGCAGAGGTGGCCATGTTTCCTGTGACTCGCTTCTGAACTGATGTCCCCCGGAGCCCAGGAAGCTCCAAGCATCACGGCAGCTCCGCCCAGCAGCTGACGGAGCGGCAGAAATGAGGGCCGAGGGCCTGACCCAGTGTGGCCATCACCTTGCTCTGAGTTCCTGAGGCAACACCTCAGCTCTCTGTCCTCACGGAGGAGTGACACGCGCACGTCAGTGTGCAGATGTAGGAAAGGAGCTGGGTAAGTACACAGGAAGGGAAATGGCAGGTCGCAGAGCCAGCGAACGCCCTGCAATTATTGCCTGGCCGACTGGCTGACAGACCCCGGCTGACGATGGACAGTGACACTGACTGACAAATACTGATTCACTGGCTGACAGACACCAACTGACACTGACAGGCTGCCTGACTGATAGTGACCCACTGAGCGACACGGGCCGGCATATGGACAGACTGACGGACACCGAATGGACGACACCGACTGGAGGACTAACAGATTGAAAGAATGGCCTACGCCTGTGGCTGTTGGGCGTGATGCTCAAATAGCATTAGCAAACCACAGCAGTTTTTCACTTTATCTGAAGTCAAACCTACCCTTTTTAAAAAAATTCTTTATTGTTTAAAGTATTACATATAGTATTATAAATGTCTCCTTTTCCCCCCATTGATCTCTCCCTGCCCACCCTCCACCCCCAAAACCTACTCTTGGAAATAGCCCACACGTGATTAAAATAAGACATATTGGGCCTCCGAAGGCAGTTTCAGCGCTGCCATTCCTGACCAGGCAGTTTCTAGAGGCGTTTTCCCCACAGGAAGGGTGGGAAGCCCAGGACAGAGGCGAGGTTCCTCTCCTTGCAGCCATGGTTTCTCCCAGCCTGGCCCCTCTCTTTGAGCCTGCATCCAGCTCTCATTTTCTCCACACCCCCGCCCTTAAATGTCCCCAACCTTCAAAGACCCGCCCTTCGGTTCTCCTCCACGAAGTCTGCCCAAGCCATTCCAGAGCCTGTGAGCCACCCTCTGCTCATTGTCCTCCCCAATGCTGTCCTGTCGGGGCTGACCATGTCCGACTGCTCCATGGCACCCTGGACATGGCTTTGCTCTGAATGGCTATTTGCTGCTCATCATTGAACCCTTTGCTTATATTTATTTTAGGCTTGTACTTAAGACCACACACACTTGGAGGGTTGGGACTCTTTAACCTCGTCTCTCCATCAGCCTGAGGACCGGTAAGGTTATGCCACAGAAACAAAGCAGTCCCCAATCCCAGTGGCCAAGACCAGAGTTGGCTGCCCCATTGTGCTCCATGTCCACTGGAGGTTGGCTAACTGCACATGCAGAGACCAGGCTGAGGGAGGCGCTGTCTTCATCTGCACTGGGCTGAGGCAGGAAAAGAGAATATGGGCTCTTAAAACTTCACCGCTCACATTCCATTGGCCAGAACGAGTGCCATGGCAACACCCAACTCCCAGAGTCAAGAAAGTGTAGTCCTATTGGGTGTCTGTACGGGGCAGGCATAATGGGAAAGTGGTAATATGATAATTTGCCTGTGGTGGACTAGAGAGAGATACTTAAGCATAGTACATCCATTTAATGGCATACTGTAAGCTATTAAAATGATACTGTAGGAGGATGTTAATGACATACAAATGTTGAGCATATATTATGAAGTATGAAAGTAGATGATAAAAAAGAATTGTAGGGAAGTATGGGACTTGTTTGAAAGAGTCTGTAAGGAGGATTCTCTGAAAGGTCAGAGGCCTCTGGGGGACCTTGCCGAAGGCTGCTGACCCTGCCTTGACTTTTCCAAGCAAGTCTGAGCCCCGGGGTGTTTTGCTAGAGTTTTTATGTTTAGACTTCAAAACGTCCTTGTTTGAAAGACACTACAGATGCAGGTGTTTTCTCAAGGATGCTTACCCTGCTGATTGTATCTAGAGGTTAATTTTAGTTCAAGCTGTTGTGACAATAAAAGCCAAAGGAGGCAGTGAACAGGGCTATTTGCTCCTAAAGCAAAACAGCCCCTTAGCCTCTCTTTCACAGAAACTGTGTGTCAGAAAAATCATTCACCGGTTGCTCAGGGTCTGCTGGTTAGCCCCGGCAAAGACTGTATGATCCCTTTTTTGTTAAAAAATGTATTTTATATTTATAAAATATAACCAATGGAAGTTCTCTAAAAGATAACAGGATATATCTGGGAGGTGGGATTATAATTACAGGTGATTGTCTACCCCTTTTGATTTCTCTATATTATTCTAAATCTTCTATAGTTACTAATTTTGGTAACAAGAAAAGAATTCCTTGCTAAACAATGCTGCCTTTAAAAAATTATATATATATATATATATATATATATATACATATACATATATATATATATAATAAAAGTTTCAGAAACATCAGGACATCCGATAATATGAAAGTGCAGATCCTCCCAGACTGCCTTGCATACATGTATGCATATTTAATTGAAAGAAACTCACAAGCTGGGGCTGATTCAGTGGCATCACAGTCCAGGCGAGCATCCTGCTGCTTGCGCTGCTAGAATGTCCTGTGCAGGCCCTGGTTCCTGGGCAGGCTGGAGGATCTTGGGAGGCCCCACCCCCCACCTCTGCACCCTCCAAAAGATCCCTGCCTGCTGGCCGCCGTGGCTGTTCCGTGGAAGACCCCTCGCCCTGCGGCATGCTGGGCCTTGAACACTTACACTCGGCATCATGATCGCAGGGGAAAAGAGGCAGCCCTCCCCGTGGAGACCCCAGCCCTGCGGCCTCACCGCCTTATCACGACGGAGAGGAGGGAAATGAACATTTCCCCATTCCCTCTATTTATGCTTTTAAGTTGATTCCGTTCCAGGGAATTTTTTTTTTTTTTTTTTTTTTTTTTTTTTTTTTTGTCAAGTCATGTTCAGAATAACTCTTCATGACCTGTTTGGGGCAAATGCAACTGATTTATGACTCCGCTGCCTTTTGGTTGGTTGGCAAAGCACTGCCTGGCCCGGGGAGGCTTTCCTCTGCTTGTTTACCCAGAGTGATTTAGGAGCAGCAGGGCCAAGAAGGTTTCCCTATTCCTCCAGCCCCAGAACCGACCTCGCGGCCCCTGCCCTCAGGGCTCACACCCTGGCTGGGGCTCGGCCTCATATTTTACACAGAGTGGCAGTTGTCCTTTGGATGCCCTGGGCCACATCACTCACGTCCTCTGGCCTGTAGCCCTTTAAGAAGCCCCCAGGGAGATTTCCCGGGGAGGCCTGTCCCACTGACGGCTGCCTACAGCCCAGCCTCCTCCTCTTCTTCTCGGGCTTGGGCTCTTCTCTTGCTGGGGGGCCTGAGGCAGAGATGGATGAATTATTAATATCGATTCTGATGGGTTAGCTCTTCCCAGAGTCTGAGCACAGCCAGGGCCTGCAATATAGAGGAAGGAACTGCTGGTATATGCAACGTGAGTGAACCTCAAAATAATGATGCTGCGTGAAAGCACCCAGCCAACCCAGAGTTCATACTGCATGACTCCATTTACATTAAACTCTAGGAGATGTGAGCTCAGCCCTGGTGCCAGAAAGCAGATGAAAGGTTGCCTGCAGACAGGGAAGGAGGAAGGGCCAGGAGGGGCTTTCCAAGGGGCACGAGGAAGCGTGGGGGATAAACGTGTCATCCTCCCGATTGTAGCGGTGGTTTCATGGTTGTAAACAGCTGTCAAAACTCATCAACTGCACATTTTAAATAGGCGCAGTTTATAGTAGATCCGTTATACTGCAGTAAAGCTCTTTAGCAAAAAAACCAAAAAAACCAAAACCTACATGGAAAATGTGTTCCCAGAATAACTAACTCTGGAGGCTTTGATGCTAGGAGAAAAGTTCAGGACACTCCCTTAACTCCTGGAATTCTCAGAACTAATTTAGGTCTTTTTTTGGGGGGCGGGGGGCGTCCATCTGATTGAGCTAAACTGAGAAGGGAGTTCATTAACTGTAACCCACTCCAGTCGGAATCCTTTCTCTTTCACATAGAGCTGCTGGAGGAACGGGTCACCCCGCTTCCCAGCCCTTCAGATCCAGGAGCGCATGTAAGTGCCTACACTGGCCATTAGGTGGCACTGTTGTACACAACATGTACCGACCTGGGCTTCCGGTTGCCAGCTCTCCAAGTTTATGTGCCCTTGGCTTTCTGCACCAAGGGTTCTCCGAACGCTTTGTCTACATCTATGGAGATAATCACATCTCCCCCCTTTAATCTGCTAACGTGCATTTCTTTTCTAAGTTTTGAATGGTGAGCCATCTTTGCAGATGGGAAAAGCCAGGTAAGTTTCCCCATTAGTGCTCACTAATGGAAGTTTCTGTCAGGATGGACACGTTCTACTTTGTCCAAGAGAGAGCTCCCTGCACAGATGTGGCCATGGAGCCTTTGAAATGTGGCCAGTGTGACTGAGGCACTGAACTTCACACTTCACTTTACTGAATGATGAACGTGGACAGCCGCATGTGGCTCGTGGTCGCCGTCTGCAAAGAGTCCGGCTGGGAGCCTGGTGCGGGCCTGCCTGTGAGGTTGCTTGGCGTTTATATCCTCTCCTCTCCTCACGGAAGGGGCTCTTCAGGAAATGTGATACAGAATGCAAGACGATTGCTTTCCCTGGGAAAATACAAAAATGCCACTGAAGCCGAACCCAGAGATGATGCGGTGAATAAATCACACGACGGCCGCCGTCCCAGGCTTTCCCGCCCCACACGCCTTCTCTTAAGCAGGGGAGTCGTACTCCACCTCACTGCACCCCAACACTGCTCACGCCTGCATGGTGAGTGAGAAGTCCTAACAATACATTTTTCTTTGAAAAATAATTATTAAAGAAATACCCATTATAGAAAGCACAGGCAGTACAGAAAAATGACAAGAAAATAAATCAAACAATATTTTGGTGTATTGCCTCTGATATGTTTTCAATATGTAAATTTTTGTTGTTAGTATTGTTGTTTTGCAGATGTATGAGCAAGATCATTCCCCATATAACTTAAAAATTTCGTTTTTAAAATTATAACATAAGCATTCTATCATCTTATTACAAACTTTGTAAACATCATCTGTTAGAACTATGTAATGTTTTCTACAGTGGAGAGCTACAATTTACTTAATGTATTGAACTTAATTTATTTATTGCTATTGCAAATATAAATATCTTTGGCATAAAGCATTTTCACCCTTTCAGAATTTACTCAAAGTGGAATTACTGGAAGCAAGCAAAGAAATATTTGATATTTTAAGGCCTCCGCAGCCTATTGCCAAATTGCTTTCCAAAAAGGCATGTAAATTTATACCCTGCACTTTATCACCTACCCACCAGCAGGAATTCATTAAAAACGAAACCCCACACCACCCTCAGCAGCGCCACACCAGCGATTTGGTAGGAGGGCCGCTGAAACGTCACATCTCTGATGAACGTTTTTCCACGTGTTTGCTAACACACTTGTTCTTCTCCGGTGAATTGTCTGTGCGAACATTTTACCTGCTTGGTTAGCAAGGTCTTAGTGCTTCTTATTTATTCACTGTAAGCACCCTGTACGTGCTGAAAACCGTATTCTTCTGTCTTTTTTATTTGTTGTGAACATTCCCTCTGTTTGTTTTATGGAATGTGGCTGATCTGATAGACACACATTTCAGATTCTCCTTGTCCTGCCCTCTGTCCGGCTCGGCCTGTCTGTGAAGCCGGGCCACCCTTCTCCCTCTTCCCTTTCCCTGGGCGATGCTGCCTCTGGCTTGACTCATCACTGACAGCGCTCAGGGTCAGCGGGAACACCCTCAGGGCCAGCGCCCTCTGACAGCCCTGCTTGGATGACTCACGGTGCCTGGGACTCAACACGCCCCAACCTGATGGCATGAATTTCCTCCAACCCCTTCTATCCGTGCGTCTCCTCCATCCACCTGGCGGCCCTGCCCTCTCCACTTGAAAATCTCAAATATCCATTTTGCTCCCTGCCAGCCCTCTCCTCATCACTGTGATCCTCCTGAGGACCTGTCTCCTGGGTTTCAGATCTTCTCCCCTCAGCCCCATATTTTCCCAATAAAAAATTTTAAACATACCCAAGTGCAGAAACTGTTGTAACATGTACTCGTGCATCTCCCACACTGCTCTGATTTTGTAAATGCTGATGATGGCGGTTGAACGCTTCAAACTTTTCAAAGAACCAGGACTGTAGATAGAGTTGAATGCTCTTTATGACTAAGTCCTGCCGTGCCCCTCTCTCCCCAGCGGGCTCTCATCCCTTCTGCCACATGCGTATGAGTCTGAAAATACATACTACTTTGCATTTAGAATGTTAATAAGTGGTACCAAATGCCATATAATCCTCCTGCCTGCAATGTGCTTTTTTCACTTTATATTTTGGGATGTAGCTCTGTTAGCACAGGTGGCTCCAGTTTATTTTAATTGCTGTATAGATTCCACGGTATGAACATATCCCAACTCACACATCTACCCCCCTATTGGGGGAGGACACTCAGGTGATTGCCCCCCTCCCCCCCCTCCCCTCCCCTCCCCTCCCCTTCTCTTCCTTCATCAGAAGCCAGGCTCACAGACGTTCTAACACTCAGTGCTGCGCATGTGGATGGGTGTCCGCAGGGCGCCTTCCTGGGAGTAGACTCGCCGAGTACACACATCCTCAGCCTCACTGGGTTCTGTAAACTTGTCCTCCTGCAAGGTTTCAGGGCTCGTTTTCCCACATTTTCACCAAAAAGGCACGGACAGCGTTTCCACTGCTGCGGCTCGATGGGCTGCATGGCACGTGGTGGGAGCGGGCGCCTTCCTGCTCACAGGTGAGGCTCAGCGCCTTGGCCCTCACCCTCAGCTGTTGCTCCTCCCGGCCTGCTGGGTGCTGTCCTCCGCCAGCTCCTGCCTCCTCCAGTCCTCGCCCACACCGGTGGGCAGGATGAGCGCCTGGGAGGCAGCTCCCACCCGGCACCCACCGCCCTGAACGCCCTGGCTGCCCAGGGCCCCAGCCCCGTGGGTAAGTGGCTGGACTTGCCCCTTCGTGTTCCCTCCCAGCGGCGCCTGCTCAGGCCTCGCTCCCGCCTCTCTCTGGGCGCCAGGCCGCCTGGACTTTGGTCAGTTCCCCAGGTGTCCAGGCTCCTTCCTGTCGCAGCGTCTCTGAGTCTCAGCTATCTCTGCCCCATGTCCCCTCCCAGCGCCTGAGATTCGCCTCCACCAGGACGCCCTCCGGGCCTGCCAGTGCTCTGCCAGGAGCCTCCTGCTCAGAGCCCCACAGCTCCCTCGGAGTCCTGGGCCCTGGCTGGATGTCAGCGGAGGAAGAAGCTGGGCCAGGAGGGTGTCAGTGACCTGCGTTAGGCCGCAGGGTCCTTGGCATGGCGGGCTCATGGTTGGAGTGGCCGTGGTGGCAGTGCTGGAGGCTGCGGAAGGCCCGGCCTGGCCTCTCACTCACCAAGGCCAAGCTCGCCACTACTGCCTCTGCCCGACCCCCTGGCTGCCTTCCCACCAGCGGTGCAGGAGGGTTCATTTCAGCACTTGTTGTTTGTTGATTTGTTGATGACAGCCATTCTGACAGGTGTGAGATGGTACCTCATTGTTTTGATTCGCATCTCTCCGATGATTAGTGACGTTGAGCATGTTTTCATGTGTCTCTTGGTCTTCTATATGTCTGCTTTCAAAAAGTGTCTATTTAGGTCCTTTGCGCATTTTTTGATTGGGTTGTTTATCTTCCTTTTGTTAAGTTGTATGAGTTCCCTATAAATTTTAGAGATTAAACCCTTATTGGATATAACATTGGCAAATATGTTCTCCCATGCAGTGGGCTCTCTTGTTGTTTTGTTGATGGTTTCTTTTGCTGTGCAGCTTTATATTTTGATGTAGTCCCATTGGTTTATTTTCTCCTTAGTCTGCAGTGCCCTAGGAGCTGTGTTGGTAAAGATATCAGGGCTGCTTTTTAAAACGGGGAGGAGTATGTGTGAGCCCGGTGATCCTGCGGCCACCTCCTGCTCCTGCCCTGCCTCCGTGTGATTGTCCAGAGGCACCTGCAGCCCCTGGGCTGGGACGGTTGTGTTGCCAGGGGCCTGGAGGCCTGCTGAGGTGGTAGCTGAGGGTGAGGGGAATTAGAAGGGAGGAGGGAGAGGGGGTACCAGTTGTGGCCCCGAGGCCACCTGCAGTGCCGGGGCTGCAGTCTCTCCCACCAACCACCTCAGGAAGAGGCCTGTGGGAACTGTGGAGTTGCTCCTGGGACCTACGTGGAGAGAGAACCATCTGTGCAGTGCATGGCTGGGCTGTGAGCGTGAGTCCTGCCCCGTGTCCTGCGGTGGGAGTGCCGTTGGCCCCATCACATTTGTCCTGGGGATTTCCTGCAGGTCACTTACAGCAATGACACAGCTTGGGTGGTAATTCAGGCCCATCCCCCGAAATCACAGGTTCCTCTGGTAGCTCAACTACGACGCCCCACTGCTCTGGCTGGAACTTAGGCCTGTGCCCTGGTCTGAGATCCATCCCCCCAGTTTCCCACCCCCCCCTTCCCAGCGTCAGAGCTGCAGCGCTGGCAGGCTCTCCCCTCCTTCTGCCCGACACTCCCCCTCATCTCCTGCCTCTTTAATTGGCCTCAGTTTCTGCTTCTTGGAGGGTGTGAACTAACAGAGATGCTCTTTGGGTTTTAAAGCTCTACTGGGAATTTCTCAAGGGGGTGACGATCCATAAAGGGCACATGCCCGGGTTGTGGGCTTGATCCCCAATAGGGGGCGTGCAGGAGGCAGCTGATCAATGATTCTCTCATCATTGATGTTTCTGTCTCTCACCCCTCTCCCTTCCTCTCTGAAATCAATAAAAATTTATTTTAAAAAATGAATGCACTGTCGATCATGCTACAAATAAAAGTGGATATCAAAATAAGTATACTGAATGAAAAAAAGTTTAAAATGTTAGAATAAAAGGCAGCCTTTAAAACAAAATCAATTTTGCTTTATGAAAATTCAGCACACTGTTCTTTTTTTTTTTTGCCACAGATCACTGATAAACTCAGTTATGGACTGGGGTGGGTTTGAAGCTTAGCATTTTGGGGCCACAGAAGTCACCCCGCTGGGCTCACCTGGTTTCCTTGGCACAGCTGGCCTCCTCCACGAGATCCCTGCATGTTTTTCCATGAGTTCTTTGTGAAGATGGGTAGGGATGATCTTACTCAAGGTTAAATGCCCTAACACAGCTAACATGGGTCGGTAAAGGCCTGCTGTAGAAAGATCTTCCTGCTCACCCAGGTGAGGCCTTCTCATGGATTTCCCGTCCCTCCTGGGGTGGAGCTGAGAGGTGTGTGTGGGGGGGTCTGGATGCTGACCGCTTCCTTTGACCCAGAACCCCCCGTGGCCCGTCCTCTGCTTGGTATTCGTTCCCTACCATCAGGTTGCTTGAAGCCTGCTGGGCCACGGACCACACTTGTGTCATCCTAGAGTCAATCAAAACTTGAATCCTCTGCTTGAACGGTGCTTTTTGAACGATGGAAATATGAACTCGGTAAGAAAATCTGTCTGATGAGAAAACTGAAAACGGCTTCAACTTTTCTCTGTGAAGTTTTTTCCGGGTGAGCAATGTTTTCAACTTGAAAACGTCCCTTGTAACTAAGCCTCTGTGTGTATTCCTGCTTTTCTGGTGCTTGACTTCCATTCTGTTGACTCAGCAGCTAGGAGCTGAGCCACAGAGGGCTCAGGATGTGCTCAGAAAGCAAGAAAGTGGAGCCCTAGGAAAGAAACCATACGTGTGCAGTTCTCGCCCCAGCACAGCGTTTAAGGTGGAGAGGAATCCTTTTGAGATACGTTGTCTTCCTCATTGAAGAGGACATTTAAAGATAGACCGGGGGAAAGAAACAAAAAATGATGGCGGACTTGGAAACCCATCCAACTTGAAGCAAAACCGATGCTGCTAAGCACGGCACGTGTGAGACGCACCTGGTGCATAGAGTAAAGGTCGCCAGCCTTTGGTAACCCCAAACTTAACCCCATTCCCCTTCCCACCCCGTCTCTCAGCTTCACAACGCAAACCAGCTCTGAAGTGACAGGAAGCTAGTCTTTTTGAGCGTTTAGCCACACCCCTGACTAGTGAGGTTCTCTGCAGAATCACAGAAGCAGAAAAGCGGTAGTTTATTGTTCTTCAGCAAAGGTGATGTGTGCTCACATTTAGAAATTTATTCTTCTGAATTTGAACATCAGAATCTGAAGCCAAGATACTGTGTAACAAGCCCCTCCTCAAAGCAATCAGGCAACATACAGAGAAGGGACATGACAAGGTTGATGGTGTGACAGTCCATGGCCATGGGGCCCCGGGGCAGACGGGCACAGGGGTGGCACTGGGTCTTCTTCGAGGTTGTATCCCCAGAATCCAGAGAGCACTTGGCACATAGGATGCACTTTTTAAAAAAAATCAAAATGCCAATTTCTCCTTCTAGGAAGTAGAAACATCTGATCGTTGTTTGGGATTTGTCAGCACAAGATGCTACATAGCGATTGTAACCAGAGATATCAGTATTATATCCAAGAGAATTACGAGAATGAAGCATAAACTTTAAGGAAAAGGCACTCAAAACTGGGGACCACTAAAGATAGGTTGCTCCCCTGAGAGCATGTGAGCAGGTGCGAGGCCAGAGGCTGTGCCCACAGGATGTCCACGCCTGACCTCTGGGCCCTTCAGGACCACCGGTGGTGGCTGCGTGGGTGTGTGGGCACCACCGGAGCAGGGCAGCTCCTCTCTTCCTAAGAAAGAATGATCCTTCGGAAGGAAGAGAAGAACCCAAGGACGAGGAGAGTGCTGATCTTGGACATATGGCACAGCTCACTCGGCCACTTCACAGTGTACCCATGGGCACCGACGCCGCAGTGCTGGCTGGAAGGAAAAGGTGGCCCCACAACGCTCCTCAACACAGGCTGGCTCGTCCAGTCAGCTTCTTGGCGTTATTCAGTAGGTTATGGCTTGAGAAGCACATTGGCCAGAAACGTTGGTCATAGATATAAAGTGGTGGTCTATCATAGAGGAGTTTGTATATATACAACTAATTTGAAATTGTAAATAAAACACAAGTTAGCAACAGGATAGAAAATGGAA